GGGGGCCCGCTTGGTGACAGTTTTCTCTATGAATGAAGTGTGATATCTAGGGTATGAGGAAACTCGGGAGTTCAAAGAGGCGTAATTTATACATTTTGTTTTGTCTCCAGCTCGTGCCTTGATCAATTTGGCGGGAAGCGGCAGTGAAGCATGCGTAGTTGTCGTTTATTGACTGGGTCTCTATCTAGTTTTGTCCGTCGTTGCGTGTGACCGATGGAGCGGTGAGAGCCCACTCGGAACTACACACGATCTTGCTCGTGGAGGCGTAGCTGGATAACATTACCTAGAGGGTTAGTCCTCTGATCAGAGAAGCACAACTTTCTTCTCGCAAATTTGGAAATATGCAGGTATATATAGACGTGATATTTCGGTTTTTGATTTTCCTTCTATCAAATCAACTCTGCCCTCTTTGAGTTGCTTGCTATCTACTTACTAGAGGTGTTAATCTATAGACTTTATTGCGTAGGCTAGCATGCCATCTTTTTTATTTTGTGGCAGAAGATGCGATTGTGTATTCGGGCTTCTGAATATTCGGGCAGAGACTGTGACGGAGGACGAGGGAGTTTTGGGTTTCTGCGGACTCTGTGAAGGTATATACCAGTTTTTGACGGATGGCGTGGGGCGTAGAGACGGATATGCTGCTCGGGAGTTTTTTTCCGACAGAAATCTTCAAGATCGTGAAATTCGCGGTGCAGAGGCGAGGTCTTTCAACGCTGTGGAGGCTTAGTTGAGAGGTATTAAGCAGCAATAACAGAGCAGGTTGATGAATGATCTGCAAAGGCCAGAGTCCGTGAAGCTGATTGCAAGCTGTGGGTGGGTTGTCTTGATGCTCGTGGATTTGTTGTATCTGTATAAATACACCAGAGAAGCAGAGATACTGAAAAGAAAAACACACAAAGTCTTGCGTTTCTTTCGCGGCATTGGCATCTAAGCGATGATCTCAAAGCAGTGCCGGCAGTGTTGTCTGTCGAGAGCGCAGTTCATTCAGGGCATTCATGGAGAAGTACGAGAGACCTAGATACCTCTTCTTTTGTATCCTGGTTTGAATACACAGCTGGCAACGGGGGACAGGACGAAAGCTAGAGGTTGCGTCTGTCGGTTAATATCAGGCTTTGGGATTAGTAGGACCTACTACTCTAATGGTCGAGGCAGTTGAAGAAGCTACGATAACTCCCAAGGATTTATCTGGTCGGCTTCAGTTCATAAGAAAGGCAGATATTTGAATAGGCGAGCATGGGGTTCAGAAGGATGCAAATCTCGAATGGCGCGTTAACGGCATCAGAGAAACAAGTATGTATAACAGAGTCCCGTCATTTTCTATTCTTGAAGATCCACACATAAGACAGCGCGGCGAAGCCGAGACGGGAATGACGAACCCACTCGCTGTCTAGTGAGCCCTGTTTCTAACCTCTTGGCGAGAGGGGAATAGAAACATTGCTGGAACAGCTCTTCGGGCTTAGAAGCTATTCACGACGGTTCCTCATTATAGCAGATTACTCCCCATTACAGTTGAATACTTCAAGTACGAAGACCATGGGGGATGAAAGGAAAAGGAGTTCCGAGAGAGGCCGAGGCGGGAGAGCATGATGTGTTGAGAACAGCGCGGCCTAAAGTTAGCTTAAGTGTCTGGACTGTAGTTGCGTTCGAGGACCACCGCCGTATTTTGGATCGCTACTCTTCACTTGCAACGATTGTGGGTGAATAATGTTGTATGGCACCTGCTATTTATGCGAAAAGTGATGAGAAGGGCGTTGTCCTAGCCCCCTTTGGCTATAAATGATCCCGTGGTGGGACGACGATTTTCACGGAGTCCCTCTGGCAGTAACCCACCGACGAATGAGCTTTCCATATTCCTTGTTGGCGCATAGTGTCGGTGGCAGATACCAGTCCCTATGGACATAAGAGGGAGATATTCATCGTAGCTATGCTTCAGAAGGAGGCGTGTTACGCCGTCCCTCTTTGCGGCGGGAATAATATGCAAGAGCTGCGGGACGAGAACGAATAGAGTGAGTTTCAACATGTAAGAGGACCTGTGGAGGAAGCAAGATGCTAATCTTTATGCTAGATTGTGACTATCAGCGAGTCTTGCCGACCTGGAACTGATTGGGCTTGTGTGATAGAAAGTATCAGCAAAGGGACCTTCTCAATGCATATATACATTTTCAAAGTAAGATGATACAAGCCGCTGGCACAAACTTAGCAGAATTTCGAGGCTCGCAGATTTATATTGTTCAGCTCGCGAACAAGCCTGCAAGGAAGGGCGTAGTACCTGAGAACGTGACGTTGAGATACTTATGTTTATACTTTAGTACGGTAATAAGACAGACTACTGTACTTCTAATCAGCTGAACAACTGTTGTTCCTTTGAAAGACTGTCCGAATCAAAACACATGAACTTACACCACTCTCTAGCTCCACGTTCGAGGAGGCAATACAATGGTATACGCCAAAGACGACGGAAGGTGACGGATAGGGACTTGAATGTGCGCTGCCTAGTGGCACAGTTGCGGCGTGGAGCTCTGCCTGTACCTATCACCATAAACTCTTCAAAGCCGGGAGTCACACAACGCTACTAAAGAAGCTATATTCAAAGCAAGACTCCAGAAACATTTGGGTTTGGAAGCCTTTTCATTATCTCAGAAGTCTGTCGTTATATGTATTATCCATGGGTGTACGTAGTGTGAGACGATGATCCTGACTGAAGTGAGTGTACTAGATGTTGCGCTGTGCAGACTAACTTATTCGGGGTCACTAATAGCATGCCCAGCAAGCTTCGTTGAGGATGTCTCTGTTACACACGGTATCATCCAGGAGACGAACTCGCAGCCGCCTTGCTTCGTACCTAAATCTACTCGCAGCAAATCTTTAGCAGAAAGCCTCACTTTGTACTTTCAAAGTTGGTTTCAAGCCACTTTATCTCCTGGTATTTGGAAACCGCCAGTATCCAGTCGTTGGGCATACCCTACTCCAGTCGTTGGACTTCAGGCGCAATGCGTATTTATCTCACTCAAGGGCCTACGATGTGAGGTTCGAGTCCACCCACAAATGTGTGTGTGGTGTCAAAGGATGCCCTGTGTTCTGCGCTGGAACAAACGCTGCGATGATTTGGTTAGCTGTCCACACTGCAGGCCATCTGTTCGTAAGTTCAGGGTTACGGATGGTGTTTACATTCATCACATCCATCCCCTGCGTATATCACCACCCTCAGTGAATTGAACAATGACCGTGGACGCCAGAGACGAGCTGGACAGGCCATGTGCCAAGTCGCCATCTAAGGTGATGAACATCCTAGGTTCTCGTATGTTTGTAATGCTAATTTGTAGACAATCATAAAGATGATGTATTTGCATATAAGAATGGTTTCCCCACCCTACTAAGAACGTAGGGCAGGACAATGCTGGTCGGACTCAATGACCGTTGAGATTCCAATAACAAACCCTGGTTGATCTTGACCCGAGAATTTCAGGTATAGAGACTGATCACGAGTTAGCAACAGTTGCGAACTGTTTCGTCCATGGACATCTTCGCTACCGGACTTTCTTTCCCTATTCTGTTGGGATAATTTGAAGACGGTACCACATGAGCAGAGTTGACACCAACAGAATAGACACCATCGTTACTTAAGCAATAGCAATCTGTAGACAAGCCCTGTGTGCTATTACTGAAAGAATTTTGCGTATACCAAGAGCATTGGCACTTTCTGGATTATTGGGGACCCCAGACACACGATTGGGCCTTCCTTCTATATCTCCCACGATCTCCCCCAAAAGACTCTACGCAAGCCACGCATCCCCCTTCAAAACCTCGCTCCAAACCTGCCCCTCCGCCCTCGTGAACCCCCGCGCCTCCTCCACATCCGCCGCGCCAAAGTTGCGCCCGTAGAGGTGCGGGAAACACCCGCCGCCCGACGGCAGATCGTCCCACTGGATTCCCTGCTCCAGGGATGCGTAGGGCAGCTTTAGCAGGTAAAGCGTCGTGGCCGACGAGAAGAAGCGGTCCGCTGTTCCGAGGACCTTTTTTGCGTGTCAGTGTTCAACTCTTTGCTTATCATTGCCTTCTTCTCGTGCACGAGATGCCATAACGTGGGTTGATCTCAAGGGCAAGGGGGAAGGATAGTACCTGTTCGGCGGTGCTCAGATGGATGAAGCCGTCGTTGCGGTCGAGGTCGGAGAGGGGGTACTCTTCCGGGAGCGGGAACGGCGGCGCCTCGGGGACGATTTTGTAGAGGTACTTTGGAAGAGTGGACGGGGCGGGCATCTTCGCGTTGATTTACGGTGTGCCAGAAGGAAAAAGGACAGATGTGACTTTTGACAAGAGGAAGCGGTAGGAAATGGCGTCGAGTGGTGAATGCCGGTGGGAGTTGAGATGCGTGATTGTGAGAGATTTGCGTGCCCGCCTCTCACCTCATCCGCAACCCCACTTTCTCAGACATGAGTTGCACATGGCGCCTTCCGTGCGAGCATCCGCAGTTAACTGGTGAGATTACACATATCACAATACAGGCAAGGAAGCATTTCATCAACGCTTTTTTGGATTCTTACAGGGACGTTTTCTGGTCCATGTCCTATCATTGATTCCTCCCCATCACTCCCCGTTTCAACCCCGCGCCAATGGCCACCATGAAGGCCCCTTGAGACTACTGAACCTTCCGCCATAACCGCCGATAGTTCATAAGAAACCTCCCCACAAGCAGATAGATAACTCTTCGACTTTTTTTTTACTTCTTCTCCTAAGTCTCCGAGGGATGGTGAGCTCTGTCAACCAGACCGCAGGATGTAGTCAAATTAGATCGAGAATATCGCGGTACCGTTGTTGAGGCGGCCTCCCCCATTATCTCTCTTTCGCTGTGTCCATAAGACTTGCAATCTCTTGCGCCTGTGTTGTCTGTTGTGTTGAAGCGCCGCCTCGTTTTTCAAACCCATCCCTAAGCGCCACCCTTCTACCTCAATGCCGTGATAGCTTCTGCTTAGATTTCAGGTCCGCGCTTTTCTGTAGCTTTTTCAAACGCGTTGGTAGAACAAGAGGTAGGCAACCTTGTTGTCCTTGATGTTGTCCTTGGCCGGCTTCCCCTTGGGCACGGTCGAGCCGTTGCCATTCGCGACAGCGCTCCACTTCTTGTCGCCCTTATCTCCGCCCTTCGCTGAGGCGGTAACCTCCTTCCAACCATCGCCCTCATCTTCGTCTGCCATGGCACCGAATCGGTTCGTGGATGCATCCCGTGAAGACGCTCCTGGACGAGAGCTATCCTTAACCTCTTCCTCCGCACCAGCTTCAGCTACGTCCTCGCTACGGACGCGACGGATGACAGTATCGTCTAGTCGGATCCATTCATTTTCGTCTTGCCGTCTGACATCGACCGTGTAGTGACCACCGTTGGCCTGCTTGCCATGGTGGTAGACAACACCAGTAAGTCTGTACTTCGGCATGCCCGCTCCCTCGGCGACGAGCGCATTGCGGCGTCTCTTCGACAGAACTTCTGCGGGAAGCTGCAAGTCGAGCGGGTAGCCGACCTTCTTGCCGATCTTGGTAGTTCCCTCCGTGTCGAACTTGAAGCGCTTGAGGTGGAGAATGAGAATTGGGGGTAGGGTCTCGATCAAGGTTTGCTTTGTCATGGGCGCGGCGTCGCCCTGGAGCCTTTCAGGGAGTGTCAAGCCCTTGATAGCATCCACAACGTTGTTGATGTACGGCGCGCCAATGTCCAGCTGCAAAGACTGGAACGGCTCCGTGGTTACCGAATCCTTGACACCAGGACGACGGAGCTCTGATCGATACTGTCCGCTAAACAGCCGAGTGATAGGTGTGGTTTGGCTGCCTCCGGAAGAGCGCGTCTCAACGGCCCGCTGTCTAGAACCGACCTCGAACCAACCGTCCACGCCATCTTGAGACTCAGCGACGCTCGCTGCTGAAGACGTAGGACGTACTTCAGGGGCACCGTTCGCTGTTCCGCTCGACATCACCTGCGCACACTCCTCGTCGATCGCGTTCAAAATCAGACCGAGGAATTCCTGGGCATCCTGCTGATGTCCTCGCTGCTCAAGAATTAGACGTGAAGATGCAACAGGCTATAGGGCTACCACATACTCTCATGCTGGCAAAGGCTGGAAGGGGCTGAATGGCCTTGTAAACGAACTCCGGAATGAACGAGTCGCCGTATTGCTCCAATTGCTCATTTTTGAGCTTCTTGCGAAGCTTTTCGACAGAATCTGTCGAATCGATGACGCGGAACTCCCTCATAAACATGATCCTGGCAACATGTCAGCTAACAAAGTTTGGCAAGCGATTGAGGCCAAGACTCACATGGCGTCGATTACGGGCGTGTCACTCTTGAATTTGTGAACAGCCCTTTTGCTGACTTGATCGAGGAAATCATAGAATGGTATGCAGAAAAGAAGAACTTGCAAAACCTACGACTGTCAGCAAAGAGGCCATGTCGACGGTGTCAGTACCCACTGAATTCATGTAACACATATTTCCAGTGTTAATCAGGCCTCTCGGCTCGATGAACTGGACCTTGGAAAGACTGCCCACGCGGAAGTCCTGGATAGCAGCAGCCAGCGAGTTTGCATTTCCAGCAGAAAAGGTGGACGCCGCACCGTTGACGGTTTCACCTCCGTTGGTGCTCGCTCCATTAGCCGTTGCTGAGGTGGTAGGACCGTTGGCATTGGGATGTGCTTTAGGGGCAGCTGCTGCGGCAGCAGAGAAAAGACCGCTCCAAGTCTTAGGGGCCGCCTTGGCTGGTGCCGCGGGTTGGGCTTCAACCTTCTGCTCGGAGTCAGCGGCCGCTGCCGCTGCCGACTCCTCCGCAGGCTTCTCCTGGGCAGCAGACTTAGCCTCCTCCGGCTTGGCAGTGCTCGCGGGCTTCGCCTCCTTAGGGCTATTCTTCGGAATGACTGGCACGACAGGAACGACTGGGACAGCAGGCCGAGAGGTGTTGGAGCTGCTGGTCGTGGGCCTCGCATTCTCCTTTGAGATGGCCTTGGGGCTGCCATCGATTGAGACTGCGGTCGTGGACCTGTAGCTCTCCTTAGGACCTTCAGATGCCGCTGACTCTGCCCTTAGGGTAACACTTTCGGTCTCGGCGTCCGTGGAGTTATCAAGGGGCGCCTTCTTAGGTGTCGAACCCGTGACATCAACATCGGTGGCCGCGTCCGTAGCATCTTCCTTCGTAGCTTGATTCAGTTCCGCTTGATCCACGCTGCTCTGTGCCATGGGCTGAAGCGTGACGTTTTTCGCGCTTGAGCTCATCAACCTTCTTCGTCGTCTTGATTTCGGAGCTCTCTTGGGGAAGGGCCCTTGAGAGGAAGGCGTCCAGGGCAACTATGGCTCGTCAGCAAAGAAGTACAAGGCGATTGCTCCGAGAATACTTACAGGTGCACGGAAATGTTCGGCCGGTTTGGGAAGCTCCGGGCTCTGGGGGGTCTGAGGAGTCAGAGGAGTCTGGGGAGCAGGCGCCGCGGGTTGAAAGGACTCAGCCACTGGCTTGAAGGGCTCGGCCACGGGCTTGAAAGGCTCAGCAATAGGCTTGAAGGGTTCGGCCGCGGGTTGGAAAGGCTCGGCAACTGGTGTCAACACTGGAGGCTCTGGAGTCTGGTGAATAGAGTGAGGCTGAGGGGGCGGAGGCGATTGAACAGGCATGGCGGCAGAAATGGGAGGCGGCTGGTAGGGATTCGAAAGAGCAGGTGACGGCTGAGACGGTTGAGAGTACGGCTGGGGAACGCTGACGCCGGCCATGGGGACATACTGCTGCGGCATTGCCCGTGATGACTGGACATATTGCTGCGGTTGTTGGTAATGCATGTAGCCAGAAGGCATGCCGCCATTCTGGTACTGGTACGGCAGCTGGTGGTAGTATGGTGCGGCGGCGTAAGGGTTCATGTAATTGGTATGATGCATCGGCATGTGCTGATACTGCTGGTATTGCGCATACGATGGCTGTTGTTGCATCCTCCGTCCTCTGCCCCCTCCAGGCCCGCCGCCCATGTCGATACCGCCGCCAGCTCCCGGCCCACCACCCCCCGGCATGGCTTGCCCAGCCGGCAGATGACGATTGTTCATCCTGCCGGCTTGGGAGTTGTGTGTTTGCAGTGATCGTCCACGGCTGGAACTATCACTGCCCGTTGGATCTGCGGCTTTCTTGGAAGCGGTTGTCGGCGCGGTCGCAGTGGAGGCGTCGACAGCTTCGGCGGAGTTCGACGTTCGTTGTGCTTCGATGGAAAGCGCGGTTTCTTCGCGTCGGGTGCGCGATGACAGTGGGAGAGAACCGGCAAACTCTGGAGTGTCGTGTGTCGCCTCCTCTTTTCGGTTTGACGTTCTCGAAGCCGGAAAAGTACACAGGTGCCCTGACTCAAAAGTGGATCAGGACCGAGATGTCGCTTGAGCAAGCACTGAATGCGCTGCGGAGGAGGAAGCCGCGAAGGAAGGCGGTCGCAGTGAATCAGCAACGACCGGAGCAGCGCAGCTTCAATGCAGCTACGCAGTCGCTTCCAGTTTGGTGATGACAAAAAATTACGCCGCGCGCAGGAGAGGAAGGTTGACCTGGAGCTAGCGGCCTGCGGGCTCCGGGCTTTGTTGGCGCAATGCGATTATTGCCTGAGCCGAAAGCCTCGTGCACTGATCACAAAATGATCCCCGCACATTGACCTCACGCCTCATCTTCCGTAATTTGCCCGAAATCGGCCCCACTTTGGAGAGTTCAGCCGGTGAGCTGGGAGCTAGTGTAGGTCCAGAGGGGGAGCTTAGAGACGAGCTTGGTCAAGCTACCTAGGTAGTCTGTACCTATGTGAAGGTGGCCTGGTGACACTGCTGACTGATTTACGAGTCCTTGTTAATTCGTCTTGACGTTACTGTCTATCCTATACTTGCTGTATCGCGGGAGGTCTATCAATAATCCAAACACCGGAGGCGACAATGATAAAACAGCGCTGGGGTCTCATTCATCCCTGAAAACCCACCGTCCACCTCCTCTCATCGCTTCCCGGTATCTTTCTTGAATCATTTGCTTTTCTCGCTTTTCAAACTCTGCCTTCTCGGCCTGTACCTCCTGAGTGTTGGGAAAGTCCACGTTCCAAAATCCTTCAGGAGACGCTCGCCGAGCATACCGATGACGATGCTTGCCCAACTCATTGGCTAGCTGCCATGTCTTGGCTTCCACCCAGAGATTTTCCTTCTCCGGCTTCGACATTCCCCAGACGGTACTGATCCTGTCTCCCAGAAAGTCTTCGAACAGTTTATTGTCTGATGCTGCGGTGCGATCGGCGCTGTTCTTCTGGGCGAGAGCCATTGCCCGAAAGTGCGGCCCGCAGCAATTCATGTCGGTGCAGCCTGGCAAGCAAGACCTGTCATTGCCCCTGACCACCTCCGAGTATGCGTAATCAGCGCCGCCGTTGAATTTTGGATTGATTTTAAAGTCGCCAATGCGCAGATCGGCTACGAGTTTGGACCGAAGACCTGTCTTCGACGACGTCAGCGGAGTCTCAACTGTGGCTCGGTTCTTAGACGAACCACGCGTTGGACTTGGTTCTGCGGCGTCTTCGGTGCTCTTCCGACTGAAAGCGCTCCCTTTTGGCTTGTCTCGTCGCTCTTTGTTGAAAGGCAACTGCCTCCGGTCAGGAAAACGAAGGCCATCGTCATCCTCTGGATCATTGCCACGAAGTCGAGGCGCCGACCGCGTTATGGTTGGCGTCTCTTCTGATGGCGCTGTATTTAGGAGGGTACTCAAACGACCGGCGGGCTGTGGCGTGCGAAAAATCCCACCTGCTGGCTCTTCGCGACCAGTCTTTTTGTAAGTAAGGCCGTCCTCGGCAAGGCTTCTTATGCCTTGAGCGAGTCCTTTCCTGCTGGGGTTCTCGACAGCCTTCTTCTCTTGCGGATGCACGGGCATCACATTAGGGTTGACTGGCGTTAAGACCGCAAAGTTCTGAAGAGGTTTGGCAGCCGGCGTGCTGATGTTGTCCGGCCTGACGGTGACCGAGTTGAAGCTCTTATCTCGCTCGAGATCCGCATGTCTCTTTCTCCTCGGCGTTGTGACCCTCGGTCCAAGTTCGTCCAAATCCATACTTTCCTGGATCTGGGTGGAAGGCAAGCTGTTAGAAAGCCCGGAACTTTCGATTTTGATTCTGGTCCGTGTGGTTTGATCAGTGACCTGGTCGTCCGCACGCTTTCTCTTCCCAACTGAGCGCTCCGAGACAAAAATAGGGCCATCGGAAGAGGGCTCGGGCTTGACGAAAACCTCTGTCGTGACATTGACGTTTTGCCTCAAGGGAGGAAGAGTCTGCTCATCGGCGTCTTTACCGCTCTCTGTCGTGTCTCTATCACTCGTGTGTCCTGAGGGTAGATTTCCTTCGTCTCGAGGTGGATCTGCTGGAAGATCAGGCTGTGCAGCTAGCTGAGGTTCCGCGATTCCATTTGCTTGATCAGGTTCCACACCAGGATCTGCGGTGAAGCTTGGGGTTGCAGCCGCACGAGGCCTGCTAGGCTCCGATGCGGATTCAAATGCAGGCGTAGGGTCGATTGACTGTCCATGCCTGTCCTCGATTCTTTTGATCTTCGCCTCCAAGGATGTTGAGTACTCGCCCCATTGTTTGATCAGGTCCTTCTGCTTCTGGTACTCTGCCTTCAACAGCTTGAAGTTCTTGTTTAAGGCGTTGTACCTCCTGAGGACTTTGTGGCTCTCGTGTAGAACCCGCTCCACGTCATTTTCCTTATCGAATGATTCATTTGGTGGAGGATCTGTGTTTGTAGCTTTGTCCTGTACAGAAATGCTGGGGCGAGGTGTATCTCTTGGCGATTCGGTGTCGCGGTTCTGATGGTGGAATCGCAGCAATTTGTTTCTGAGCGACGAGTTTTCCTGCTCCACCCGATCGATGTATTCAGCGCGAGACCTCAAAATTTCCAGCTCTTCCCGCAACGACTCGTTCCGCTCCGAGTCTTTCTGTTTCCTCTTTTCAAGCTCTGCCGTGCGTGGTCAGCGGTCGTTGCCGGCCATTACGTCAGGGTTGTTGACATACCAGTGTCAAGCGCCTTGCCAATCGACCCGCGCAATGCATTGAATGCCTCTTGCACCGCAGCTCGACTCTCCGGTGAGAAGCTATCCATGATTTCCAGATGACCTCCGTCGTTTAAGCATACAGGATGTTGTATTGACGGCTGGGCGGGGGCTGATGATGCTCAACGGGGCTTCGCGTCTCGTTCACGCGATGTGCAGGGAAGGCGCGTCAAGGTGGCGCCCAGTCACGTGCTTAGTCATGATCCAGGGATGCTACATAGTAGACAGGAAAGAGCACCTAGGCTTTCAGAAAACTGTAGCAGCCTCATTACCAAGCAAGTATTCTGCCACTGAGAAACATCGTCATTCTCAACAAGCCAGCTCTCGATTACAATGGTGGCTCTTCACAAGATCCGTTTCCAAGAATCTGCACACGACGTCCCCGTCGCCTCTCACATGCCTCTGACAGCATCGGAGCCACTTCCGCAGTGAAGAGAGCTGGGCGGGGCGTGTTTATTGATTGAGCAGGCCTGCGACATCAATTGGTACGGTTGGCCTTGCTCGTCACCTCCAGTGGGCCTACAGAACGCGGCCACTCCGAAAGATAACGCGAAGGTCGGCGCCAGGGCCGACATCGACAAGCTCCTTGGTGGGCCAAGCTCCCGACGGGAACACCTTTCCCCACGGGCCACGGTCTTCCGGCCCGGCAGCTGGTCAACATTGAACCCCCCCGGTGAATGATCGTCATGGTACGACATCGCTAGTAGGGCCAGGCACGCCTTACCAGTACCGCATGCTATCAAGAAAATGCGCTCTCTCGGTAGCTGGCACAGTCGGCCCCTGGCGCACCAAGAGGGACGAAACTGTGATGGCCTCGATTCTGGAACTGCTTCGTTCAGCAATCAGCTCGTCAATGACTAGATCATTGCTGCGTCAGGTGCGGCAGTTCGGACAATCAAACACGGCGACGGCCCCGAACATCCTCACGGACACGAGATGTGGACAGATCCCATTTGGGAGGAATGCCCGCCAGAGGCTAGACAAGGGTCTGTTTCTGCCTCCCGGTTCGTTTTAGCCGGGCAATTCGTGCCGCCTTCGCGGAGGACCCTCTTCGATTCCTTCCTCGAAGGATCCTACACTCAATCATCATTCGTCGCCAAGCCAAGCTTCCAGAAGAATTCTACACACGTGGCGGGCAAGTTTTCCCGACCAAGCCGATTGGCATCCAAGAGCTTCACCTCTGCGATGACATCGTTGTGGGATTTGGACTTGTTTTTCCCATCAAGACCAGATGGTCGACGCGATGCGTGTCTGCAACATGTTCGCCTGGAGGAAGTCAGGGTTGCATTCCTAGCGAACCAATACCAATGCGCGCAGTCGCTCTGACTTGTTGTTTCTTGCATTTCTCAAAAGCCCGCGGCCTGCGGCCTCTCATGCACAATGATTGCGGCGGTATGTGGTTACATGCCGTTCTAGTGCGCCTTGGGCTGCTGCACCTGCGGCCAGAAAGTGGCCACTTGCCCGGCATGTTCTCCATCCATCAGAGAATCCAGACCACACATCTTGTTCGTCTGCGAGTGCGATATCATCGGATATCTCCAGCCTCGCTCTCGCAAACCATTCAGGGCAGGTCAGCAACTTCAATTTTGTCGGGGACGAGTCGTGCACGCATGAAATGAATCCACGGGAAGATTGAACAGAAGCAAATCAGTGGTTGACGATGTCTTCGCCCGTTTACTTTGCAGATATGAGGCGCAATGCCCCTTGCCCCTGCATGGTCGTTGCGTAATTCCTGGCAAGCGAGACCAAGGGACATTCGATCGAAGATGGCTGTCGACCAACGATTGCCGCAATTTACTGGCTACGAAACAATTGAAAGGAAACAGCCCAACCTCCCCCGGGCCAGGACATGTTTCCAGATGCTTATGCATGCGCAGCGCAGCGTACATACTATACTGTACGGAGAGATGGCCGTTTGAGGGTATGGCCGGGTTCATCCGGTGTGGTCGACTGCTAAGCTTACCACCAACCTGAAATGGAAGAGTGGCCGAGATTGAGCACGGCAGATCTGGCTGGGTCGGAAAGTGCATCTCGATGGAACGAACCAATCCTCGGGCAGGGCTCGCCTGAGGCCGTGGCTTCGCTGAGGGATGCGAAACCCAAGTTCAATGGAATGAAACTCTTGGGATTTGTGCGTTAATTCCTCCAGTGAGATATCGCAGATTGAGTTCCAGGCAGGAAGGAGGTTGAAAAATACGGAGCCGACGTCAAAAGTGTGTACATGGGGGTTGGGTTTTGGCGAGGGGAGGGTGTCGATCTGGAGGGGCCGTCCAAGCCTCGGCCCAAACCTTTGTCAAGAAACGAGTCCGTGAGGTGATCCGGGGTTTGTCGCCTGCCTGCGTGCCTGCCAGCCCAGCACTTGAATAATGCAGACGCTCTTTACGAGGAATTCTGACGCGGGAAACTTTTTGCATCCCTGAGCACTCGATCATTTCGTCCTTGATCTGGCTCGGAATGCTGAGCTTCTCCAACGCTGCATCTCCCCAGTATGGTCTAGGCAGGACCACAGAGAGGCATGTGCCATCCCACCGATGCAGCAGCAGCACCACCACCACCAGCAACCGGACCGGGACCGCGGACAGAGGGCATACCTACAGCCGAGACCACTTCGACTTGGAATACGCGGCAAGGCGGTATATTGGATGGGAAACCTGAGGTTGTGAGTGAGACATGGAGACAGACAAACCCGACACGCACAGTGTGAGCCAAAAAAGTGATGGACAAGAAAAATGAGAATCCTGCATGATGGAGGGGCAAACCGCAGATGAGATCAGCTCTCTGTTTGGCGGCCCTCTTTTCTTCACTTACACCAAGCGGTGTCTCATGACCCTGTTACGACATGTTGAGAGACCGCTTGTGGTGAGGTGCTCCGAGAAGTGTTTTCGTTCAACACCGCTCAATCAATGCACATGGACAATATGGACAGAATCCAAGCTACATATGGCCCAGCATTCTGTCAGCCAGGCCACCAGCCCACCAGGGCAAGTGGGGGGCTGATGAAGGCTTGTGAGACAAGACTTATCAGAGCTTGCAGACTCTCAGCCTGTGATGAGGGGCTTTCAGACAGGGAGGGATGCAAGGGACGGGCCCCTCGCAGGCCCCTCACTGGCCCCTCGTAGGGATGGAAAAGGGTTTAGCGAGGCTGGGGCATCGCAATTCACAGTGTTTGGCCTGCCACGGAGCCACCTGCCTGCCTCTCGGCGATTTAAATTAGTATCTGGCGCAGGGGGACCCCAGCTCGTCCGACATGCTGAATCCTCTCTCCCGCCAATTTTTTTCATGGAAGAAAAAAATTGAATAAAAATTCGGGACGGGAGGGGAAAAAACTGAGGGGCCACAAGAAAAAAAAATAAAAACAAAAATTAAGAGAGAGTGCAACCAGCGAAAAGACCGAGTACAGTGCCGCGTCATGTACTCGTTTTTCATTATCATGCTCGCCTACCCAAGCGGTACTTCAAGAGCAAGCCTGGCTGCGTAATAGCGGTAGGAGGCATATCCGTGGACCCGCGATGGAAAAGCAGAGAGCAGAAGCATCTGCACATTTTGCTTTCAAAAGTCAGCTGCCTTTGAGTTCTCGTCCCTGGAGTTTACTGCTTCCCCGTCGCACAAACCAGCTCAGCATTCATTTCCCGAGGGGTGGTCTTGTCCACGTCAAAACCGCCTTATCGGAAGGTTCGAGTCTGGGAGGTCGGGCACAAGCTTCGTCCCAGGTCATCTCAACTCTGGAGAACCTTCTTCTGACTTGGGTACCGATGCAGTCGCCAGTCAATTGCCCCCCTTCCGTCGTCTGTCTACTTTAAGGCCTAAGTTCTTATGAACGCGACCCCTAGCTAAGATCCAAGGTTGCTTCCGGCGCAGCGCAAGCTATTGGGCCGAAGCAACGAAGGCGAGGGCTGTTCTTGCCTTTTTGGTACACTTCAGTCCGTGTGAGATAGGTCTGGAGACCTGGACCCGAACATCCCATCCATCCCCCTGAGGTGAGATGGTAGCGGCGCGTACCTACAGAGGCAAGGTAGTGTAGTCTCATCATCGGCTCCGGCTTTTGACTTGGAGGCATATCTCGGGTAACGGGGGCCGCCCTCAGCTCCAAGCCGTACATTAGTAGCAGTCACATCAGTCCAGCCCAGCCCGGCCCAGCCAACTGTGTGCGGTGAACCGGCCAACCTAGCATCGGGTCGGACCAAGCCAAGGTAGGACAAGCAAGGCAGGCCATTCAAGCTGGGGAAGCTGGTGGTGGGCAGGAGTGTCTGATGTGATGATGGCCGGTGTCAAAAGCTGCACGTACTTGTACCGCAAGGTAGGCACGGCAAGTCATGCTGCAGCGAATGTGAATCATGGTGACCTGCTTGCTTCTTCTGTCTTTTCCAACGCAAGCATGAGGCAAGACAAGGCAAGGAGAGGAGACGCGGGCGATATGATAATATGGCAGAGCAGAGAACGGAAAGGGCTAGACGTTCACTCGCCGCCGCCTGCCTTAGTTCTTGTAGAGTTAGGCAGTAGACAGGAAGGTACCTTGCCTTACTTGCCAGCTCCAGGTCTCGCGCTTTAATTCACCGTGACCTCTCATCTCCTAAAGGTGAGTGGTAGGAAGGCAACCACCCACGTCAAACCCTCCATCTGCCTAATAACCTACGGCAGCTACAAAGTGCCACTGCTGCTCCTGCTCCTGCTCCTGCTGCTACCAGGCTAAGTGAGGTCGGGTGTGTAAGGTACCTCCTCACCTTCCATACCTACCTTCCCGCGACAGGCTCTTCCTCAGAAAGCCTCTTGCCCCTTTGATTGGACGCTACGAATACAGGCCATTTTCGCACCGGCTCCACACCGCAGCAAAGCGGTGGACTTTGGAAAAAAACACTGAAAAGACCAATCCCACCACCATTTCCTCCCCCCTTCTTCCCACAACCTCCTCCATCGCAAACACAAACCTTGCAACACTTTTCCGCAACCCCTCGCTCAACAGAGATTTCCGACTCTGTTTGCTCTTCAGACGCTGTGAGTACAGTTTTCTTTCCTGTTCCTGGTCGCATTCGCGTCGTCAAAGGCCATCGCTGGCGTCACCCTGGATTCGACATCATCGCCGCTGGCCCTGCTGCCATGCCTGGGCGACAAAAGGGAAAAAAAAAGCCGAGCCCAGAAAAAAGCAGATTTACACTTATCCATCTCCAACTTTTCCCCACATCGCGCGCACACACATGCCACTTGCCACTCCCCCCCACCTCAACCACATCCCATCGCAACAAACCTTTCGCCTGCAAGATCTCAATCTCTCACCAAAGCTTGGCTCATGAATTCCTTCTACGACATCTTGCTTCGCAGTCAACGGGCAACTTGCATTCTGACGCATCGCTGCCACAGATCAATCAGTACATCTACTCGACATCTTCACCCGCCACCAAAGCCCAAAATGGACTTCCAGGGATCCGCCGCTCCTCCTGCCCGCACCTGCTTCACCTGTGAGTTACCCTGACTTCACTTTTTTCGTGGTCTCCTTTCCAGCTCTTCCCGCCAAACGCCACACGCGGCAATTTCTATTTTTTCCCGCATTTGCCTTTCTGTGCGGGTGGCTTTTTGGCAATTCGGGATCGTCTGGTATCCTGATCTCGAGGTCTCGTTGCCATTGGCTCACCGAATTCTCACCGCTTGAAACGCCTCTCTTTTCAGCCTGCTATTGGTGGCAGTCTATGCAGCTTTCCTATCGGGCATGTATTCGCTGCGCGCGCGACTGCTTCAAAGGACTGTCTGCTTGGCTCCGTCATAGTCTCGCTTGCGGTAGTCATGCCGCAGAAGCATGGGAGTCTGGCTTGCCTCATGGCCCTGATACTGCCGTCGTGCAAAATCAGTCTGGCAGTTTGAATCGAGGATGCCTCTGGCAAAATCGCGTTCCAGATATCCCAAGTCTACATGGACAGATTCGTCAAGAGGCCCGCCTGGAGACTATTGCGACGTCCTACTGACTTCGAGCTGGTGTGCCAGTGACACCTGTCCCATTCCTTACTTTACATCCCACTTGTTGAAATGAAGCGAAGAGTCTGACCAGAGATATTTAGGCGGTGCTGCCGGCCACCAGGTATGCCTCGAGAAGGGGGTGATGATATCCATCGTTCGAGCTGCTGACCAAACGTAGGCCCGCGAGTGCCCCAACCGTGGCGCCGCCAAGTGGTATGTTCTCCTGCTATGATGCTCAAAACGGTTGATACTGACTTTTTCGTGTAGCTACAACTGCGGCAGTAAGTGATTGTTTTCGCCTTATGCCTATGAGATAACTGACAATCTCTGCTCCAGACGAGGGCCACATGAGTTAGTCCAAATGCCAATCTCTTGACCCTGTGTACTGTTCGCTAACTTTCCCCCAGGCCGTGACTGCCCCGAGGGTCCCAAGGACACCAAGTCCTGCTACCGCTGCGGCCAGGCTGGCCACATCAGCCGCGACTGCCCCCAGGGAGGCAACGTCGGCGGCGGTGGTGCCTCTAGCTCCGAGTGCTACAAGGTTTGACGCCCGTCGTTCGATTTCCCAGCGCAGTGGAGAAGCTAATGCGAAGCCCAGTGCGGTGAGGTCGGCCACATTGCCCGCAACTGCCCCAAGTCTGGTGGCGGCTACGGTGGCGGCTTCGGCGGCGGCTACAACTCCGGCGGCTACGGCGGTGCCAGCCAGAAGACCTGCTACTCTTGCGGTGGCTACGGCCACATGTCTCGTGAGTACTCCTCTGACCCAAAGCAACTGGACTTTAGCTGACGTTTCTAAGGCGACTGCACCAACGGCTCCAAGTGCTACAACTGCGGCGAGAACGGACACTTCTCTCGCGACTGCCCCAAGGAGTCCTCCGGCGGCGAGAAGATCTGCTACAAGTGCCAGCAGCCTGGTCACGTTCAGTCCCAGTGCCCCAACTAAGCGCGAGCTGGCTATTGCAACGGACGATTGGTGACGACGCATTGGCTTGCCTCGCAGCCAGAACCGCGGTTTTATTACGACGATTCAGACGGCCTCGGGGCGAAATACGGCTCACTCTTACGAACCTGGCATTGCGGCTTGCTATGTACATTGGAATTGGCTCTCTTTTTTCTCTTTTTCTCTTTTTTCTTCCTTGCTCACGGCAAACACTGGGACACTCGGCCTGCGGAAAAGTTTTACACGGAACGGCATATGAAATCACGGCTTTTTCTCTTACGCACCATGATACACCTTTTCGCATATGAACGTCGAAAGCTTCGGCATCGTGCGGGCTTGGTCACATCGGTTGGATGACGATTGCAGTCTAAAGACAAAGCTTGCCTCTCCTCTCCACGGGAATGATGATGAGGGAGGAGAGCAGAGTAGGGTGGAGACGGCTCGTGGGTGGAAAATAGTTTTCCGACCTCTTGATGATAGATTTTGTGGTCGGCTCTTGGGGGTGCTCAAAAAGCTGCGGCCCTATGGCAGCATCGGCCGTCTCAGGGCAGGAAAATGGAAATGTTACGCGTATGCTTGGTGTCGATACGTGCGTGCTGTGAATCCCTTGATGTTTGGCTTCGCGATTGTATGTTGCCGTGTTGCCGTGTAAGCACATGTCAACGGGAACTGCCGTATCCAACAACGGAAAAGAGCTCGCTGATGCTAACAACACAGCATCACGGTCCTTGCAGAAACCTAATCCTGGCTCAAGGCCCTGAAACCCGGACACATCCGCGTCATCCCAAGGCAGGACATCTCCCCGCCTGCTTTGCTGATGATGCAAACTTCTTCTTTGTATTTTTGGGTTTTCAAAAGAGCGTTGAACACGGGTTCGGCTGCCATTTTGTCACCCGAAGGAAGAACGAGACCCAGCCGCGCCCGAAAGAGGGAGTTTGAAACAAGCACGCCAAAACCTACGATGCCCCGTTTAGGTAGCGAACCCTGCCCCTGCCACTGCCCCTGCCCGCTCCCCGCTGGACAAATACTGTTGTAGTTGTATTCGTGCTAAAGTATGTATATCCGAACTTTGGCATACGGGGGGGTTGTAGTGCGTAAGGTAGTGGTCGCGCCCGGGGTTTGCTTGGCGGAGGAGGGGGGACGAACGGGGTTTACTCCGAAAGGGAAACGGCCCTGAGTCGTGGAGATATTCTCGGGATTTTTCCTGAACGGGAGGGCTGATGGTTTTTTTGCTTTTGTCATGTTCCCTATGAGGGCTGATGGTTAAGGATGTACACAAGGGCGATGTTCTTGACTTGATATGTTTTTGTATGTTTGGTTCTAGCGCTTTCGTCTTTTCTAACATCACAGAGTTTATTACAAGCTTCTTACACATGTCCAACCTGTCTGTCTCCTTACAACCTTGACTTGGGCATGAACTTCATGGCCTGCCGGACGCCCAGGTCGCCGAGGACCTCCTCTGCGCCGCCGAGGATGGCGTCGAACTTGTAGGTGCGGTTGAACATCTCGACGACGCGGCCCATGCCGGTGCGGGTGAGGCCGCGGCCGCCCCAGATCTGGACGGACTCGTCGGCGATCTCGTGGGCGGCGCGGGTGGCGGACATCTTGAGCAGGCCGATGGGCCCGCCGAGGTGCTTGGCCTGTTCCTTGTAGGGCATGTTGCACATCTGGTAGGTGATTGTCTCGAGCCAGGACTGGTTTGCCTCGGTGAGGGCGATCATCTTTGCGAGTCTGTGTGTGCCGGAGTTGTCAGTGTTTTAGCTTCAAGGACGTGAAGGAAGGGGAAGAGGGGGAAACGGACTTTTGGCGGATGACGGGTTGGTCGATGAGGCGCTTGCCGAAGACGAGGCGTTGGTGGGACCATTTGAGGGACTCTTCGACGACGGTTCTGCATTGGCGGATCGTGGCGCCTAGGGGATGAACGTGTTAGTTACAGTCTTTTGATTTCTGTCAGGGGTAGAGACGACGCTTACAAGCCATGGTCCAGCGCTCGTGGTTGAAGTTGCTCAGGATGACGTGGATGCCCTTGTTCTCCTGGCCCAGCAGGTTCTCGACGGGCACCTTGACGTTGTCGAAGGTGATGTACGTCGTGCCGGCGGCGGGAGAGTAGGAGGTCTTGATGGGCTTGGTGTTGACGCCCTCGCCGCGCTCGATGAGGAGGACGCTGAGGCCCTTGTCGGTCTTGACGCCGGTGACGAAGTAATCGCAGAACACGCCGTTGGTGATCCACTGGAATAGGAAGGTTAGTATTCGTATAGCTTCAGCCGTCGTGTATCACTTGCCTTTTTGGTCCCATTGACAATCTGTTCGAAGCAGCTGTTAGTATACGCGTGCAATGACAACTAGACGTTGTGATGACGGTGTGTACTCACGTAGTGCTTTCCGTCAGGCGTCTTCTCTGCCGTCGTCCTCAGCCCTGCGACGTCACTGCCGGCAAAAGCCTCCGTGATGGCCAAGCAGAGCTTCTTCTTGCCGCTGAACACCTCCTCCGACACCTTCTTCTTGAGGGCCTCGGAGTTGGCAAAGTTGAGCACGACGGTCAGGCCGATGGTCATGCCGGCCATGTTGCCGTCCTGGAACCCGCGGCAGTTTGTCCGCGCGAGCTCCTGGCTGACAATCATGTCGTGGAAGTAGTCAAACTCCTCGCCCTTGACGACGCCGCCGAGCAGCTCGACGCCGTGGAGGTGCTTCCCGGGGCCGAGGCGCATGTGCAGCACGCCGGCCTTGGACATGCGCTCGATGAGCTCCTGGGAGATGTAGTCGCCGCTCTCCTCGGCCTGCAGCGCCTCGGGGGTGACGTGGGTGTCGGTGAACTCGCGGATGGCGCGCTGAAGGGCGCGGTGGGAGGGGGAGAAGTAGGGGGACTTGAATTGCGGCGTGAGCCAGAGGGGCTCGCCGTAGGGGACGACGGAGAGCTCGCCGGGCTGCTGGACGACGACGGAGGGCTCCTCGCCGGCGACGGTGCCGATGACGAGGGTCTTGTCGTACTTTGTGAGGACCTCCTGGCGGTGGAGGTTATAGAACTCGGTGGTGGCGTCGCGGCCGGCGACCTGGCGGAGGACGGACTCGCCGCCCGGGTGGGCGTCGAGGAAGTCTGTCAGGTCGTAGACCTTGGCGTCGATGATGCACCAGAGGGACTCATCGTGGTTGTTCTTTGCGACCTCGTCGCGGGAGTACGTCTTTGCGGCCATCGTGATCTGTGTGGGATTGGAGCTTCTTTGTTCTTCGGTACCACCAGGGAGTTTGGGAGATTCGACTGATGGGAGACTGAAGCTCAATGGCTTGGGTAGGTGCCCGTCGTCGTCGTCGTCTTCGTCAAAGGGAGGATAGATATCGTCGGCGTGTAAGAGGGAGACCAAGTCGTGCGTTGTATCGTTGGAGACGTAGAACAAGGTGTCAGGAGTGCCAGCAACCTGAGTCGGACCAGATGACATGTGCCTTTAGGGGGCGGTACATCGGTTGACGTCGGTCGGGAGACGGGCGGCCGCAGACAGCCATGTCTGGAAGGTTGGCCGTGAGCCTCGGCTTGTGTGGAGTGTGGAGGGCGCCTGGCGGACGGTGCTGATTTCGGGAGAGTTGTGATTGGCTCGAGGGAGGCTGGGGGAATGAGATGGCGTCCGGGGATGCGTCTGAAGACCAAGCCGGGGGTTGCCGAAGCTTTGACGCGACTGGGGTCTTTGATGATTACTCATGCTCCGAGTATTATCTGATGAGAAATCGATTAAGATGGAGAAATGCCGGGTTGTTGACGACGAGATGTGAGCAAAGTTAAGGGCAAAGCTGAGTTCCACGGAAAGCTGATGTTTGGTACACTTTGCGATGCGCTGAGCATTGGACAGAAAACGGGGCCCCCTGTTGATGCTTCCCCCACAGAGGAAGATTTACCCCGCAGAGGGGCGCATCATCCCACTATGAGCTCTACCCTATCTATTCCGAGGCTGGAGATCCTCTTTCAGTCTAGCATCTTTCCTGTCTTGGTGCAGAGCCTCTTCAATAGACGTTGGGGCCGTCAGGGATGGTGGGATATTGATCAGATGGTCTCATATCGGCCGAAGCACGACATCGGATAGTGAGTATTCATGGTTCAATCGAATTTCCCGGGCTCTGCGCAGTAAGATGGCTTCGCCTACTCCATGACCATCCAGGCTGTCAAATGCAACCCCGCCAAAGCCTGCCTCACTGCCTTCAGCCCAAGACGTCCGTCCACGATGGTTTGAAGGTAAGACTAGGATCGTGAGCCAAGCTGTACATTGCCAGCGCGGTTGCCAGGTGGGTACCTGCCCACAATGTCAAGGTGACCCTGACCGGTTTGGGTATTCCGTGGCGATCAACATTTGCGAGAAAGTGTCGTGCCAATAGGCCAAGCCCGAATGTTGAGAACACGCCCGTGACTTTCCATGTCCAGTCCTTGGGGCGAGCATTCGCGTGGAAAGCGACGACCCCGTTTTCCAAAACCTCCACCATGGGTGTGCAATTCCATATGATGTTGGTGAGGAAACCAGATAGCCAGACAGGCACAGCAAAACCAAGGGCACCATCCTTGAGAATTCGTAAGACTCCACTGCTCTTCCTGTAAGAAAGAACGCCGAAGGTAATAGCGGATGCTGGTCCGCCCAAGAGGACATTCACGACTTTGATCCACGCTGCCAGATTGGGGTGTTTGACGCAAATTCCAGTCGCAGCAGTGCCTGCAAACCACAGTAGGAACAAGAAAGAAAGGATAATAGCCAAGCCCTGTGGCATCGTGGCTTCATTTTGCTCTTGAACGTCATCGTCAAATGTTGCGGTTGTTGGCGACGTAGGAGGTGCCGCAGGGCTGAGTATCGCTTCGACGAGTCCCGTGACGCCCTCCCGGCTGGCAGTCGACCCAGTCAGCCACAAGAGACACAACATGACCTCGTCGCAAAAGAAACTTCCAAGATATATGGCCGCCAAGGCTTGTGTCCAGAAGATGCCTCGGCAGGCATAGAGCTTCGTCGCTTGCAGCACAGGGCCGAGGACGAAAGCGACAACACGAATCAGCGTGTTGCGCTGTAAGTTAACCACGTCACTGTGTGCTGATTCCTCATCGACATCGTACTTGTGCGGCGAAACAACGAGGGTCCATTCGAAGGCACGGCGAACACGGATGCAGTTGAGGGCCTCGATAGCGTTGACGATGCAAAACACAGGCGAACACTTCAGCGCGGGACCCCATGACGATGGAAACCCGACGATGCGGCCCGAGGGCTGGGTTACAGTGTTCAGAGCGACAGCCACCAGGGCCCAAAAAGCGGATTGCCACGAGAGCTGGGCGTCAGACGTGTCGGCGGGTGGCGTAGGTTGGACAGCCTGACCCTGATCATCGTCATGGTCCTGTTGGGAAGTCCCGGACACAACGAATAGCAAGAGGATGAGGGCAACAGCTAGTGGAGAAGGCGCTTTGGTGAGCATCGTGACCCCGCGGATGAGGCTCTGGTAGGTTTCTGGTGTCCGGAAATGCAAAAAGACAAGACGGCCGGGTCGGCGGGGAAGCAATATCAGAGGGTCGGACTACATGTTGGCGCAGGATGGAATCCCTGGCCAAGTCGGCAGGGTCCAATGGGGTTTATCGGGTCCATTGGTGATCGACATGGACGAGCGTCGCTCAATTGAGAATGGCTCCAGCGATTGCGGTGGGCGAGCAGACGAGGGTTGTCGCTTTTGGCGAGTGAGGTGAGAGCAAAGGGAAAGAGCGAGGTCTGAGGGTATCGTCGGCCCCTCCTCATATGTGCATTTTGTTGTTCGTCATTGCTGGGCGGCCATCGAGTCATTGGACGTCGGTGACAGGGTGTCTGGGGCAACACATAACGGCGATGGTGTCAGGTCTTTTTTTGTGCCCGTCCGTCGAGGGGCAAGGTATATAGATGCTCGGCGAAACTTGACGCATCAGAGAGGAGAGAGAGGAGAAGATAGACAGAGAAAATGTGTGAGAGAGAAGGAATGGGACGGGGAGGCAAGGGAAGCAGGAAGGAAGGACCAAGCCAGGAGACTCAGGGAAAGCGCATGAAGGAGAAAGAGCGGACAGGCGGGAATGGATATTTTAGTGGAGGGATGACGCTGCGGTGGAGCAATAGCAGTGAAGTGTCACCAGAGCCCCTCCACCGTTGCAGCGAAGCAGCGATTCGGGGACCCCTCCACCCGCTATTGCCTTCCTGAGGTGAGGTCTGTAGTAGGTACGGTAGGAGCGGGCAGGCGTTGCTTTGCTGTGTGCGTGTGCGTGTGTGGTGTTGTTGCCCTCCACTGCACCACTTCCTTCATCCATTGGATTGCCCCTCCACCGTCCTGTTGGGTTTGTGGTTTCTTGTCGTCAGGTCAGGTCCACCGCACAGCACCGCACCGCACCGCAAGACCGCAGCACAACTTTCATTGCCTCCTCTGGCCGCGACGGACGGTCGTTCCTCATCTGCTGCTGCTGCTGCCGCCGCCGCCGTCACCTCACTGTTCCGTCCATCGTTTGACTCGCGGGCTCGTTTCCCGAATTCCCAGCAAACAACACACACCGGCCGTCTGCTCCTCCGTCGTCCTCGTCCTCCTTCACCGGGCTTTTTGTCCCTCTTTCTCCCCTTTCCTGGCCATCGGCATCCTGTCCTTCGTTCGTCGAGGCCTTCCTGACGGTATCCCGGATGATATCGAGGCTTAGCGCGCTCACCAGTTCCCCCGCCCGATCGCTCCTAATAAGATAGTAAGTCCGTCTTTCTGTTTCTCCGCCCGTCGCTGCCGTTGTTTTCTCCTTGATCGCTTCCCTGGTCAAATTCCAACCCCATTCCACCAATGCTCCCTTTCCAATGCCCATCCATCACGTCCACCGGCGCCCGCAAAGCCCGAAAAAGGCGATGCCGCACTCAATGATAACTCGGCTGCCGTCTCTTGAACGAGCCAAGGGCCAGGTGTACTCGCATTTAGGAGGAGCACACTCCGTTCTCTTGCGAATCATTGGCCGGCTGGCTGGATCAACCGCCTTTATGCGACAACTCGACAGGCGGAGAGACTGAGGGAGGGAGGGCTTGGTTGGTTGGTTGGTTGGTTGTCGCTGCAGTGACAGAGTAAGAGACTCTATCACGCTACTCAGCCCGGACCGACTTCACCCCCTCTGCCTTCTACCTACTGGACAGTCCTGTTCCACTGATCTCTCCGTCTCTCGCCTCTTATCAATATTTCGGTTAGGTAAGACACTTTGAACGGCATTTCGACGGCGCATAAATGGGCTTGTCTGGATGTGCTCGCCTCTGCTCATGGTTGCCGGCATAGCTTCCATGGTTTAGGTGGCTTGTGAGCTATCATAAGCTACTACGCCTGCTTTTTACCACGGCTTCGCTTGCCGCCCTCGACCTTTACCTTATCTGGACTTCTTGCGCTTATCCCTCATGGCGGCGCATGTCCGCGACCCAAACAGCCGGGCTCATTGTACATATCAGTCAAAGACCCATGATCCCCTCTCCGCCTCTGCCAAATGCTAGCCGCTGGGAGCAAGACATTCCACCACGTTGCTCGTCATCCCCACATCCAGCCTGACCTCTCCCCAACCCCAAACTCCCCTTGCACTCGTTCTCTTGTCTCATCTGTTCTTGCTTTCGCCTGGATCTAACCGATCTCTTGTGACTTTATTTGGCCCTCTCACGGACTAGTGCCCCGGTGGCAGCATCTGGCTTAGTTTGGCGTCCCTCCAACTCTCCAGATCCTCCGGACTTGCTTCGTCATATACCTTCTTTACTCACCAATCGCTTCTCTCGCATCTGCAACAATGGACGCTTACTCAGTTTCGTATCACAGCCCTTCAAACCGCAGCACATCCCGCATTTACCAGGACCTTGAATCCTGTCGACTCCAAAGCCTCCTTGGAATCGGCCAAGAAAAACTTCTGCTCAGATCATTAACCATGGATTCATTTGCGCGGGTAAGTCTGCTTCTCGTCAACCACGTGCCTAACGTCGCTAGTGGGACGCTTCGGGCCGGGACCGCCCAATGTCTTCCTTGATGGGCAAAGCCGTCTTGACTTCCCTGTCCGTACCTGTCACACATCGGCGTACAATACGATGGCCGCTTGCTTGCTTGTTTCTTGCCAACGCACCCTGCTCATGCCAAATTACAGCGCAAACAATCCGAGTCAGGCCCCAGACCACACATTGCGATTGTCGGCGCCGGCCTCGCTGGTTTGCGTTGTGCCGATATTCTCATCCAATATGGCCTGCTGGTAACCATCATCGAAGGCCGGACGCGCCTCGGCGGACGCGTGGTCCAGGATAAACTTCCCAATGGATATACCGTTGACCTGGGCCCGAACTGGATACACGGCACCGACGACAACCCCATACTTGACCTGGCCAAAGAGACAGATACCGCCGTCGGCAGCTGGGATCACCGGACTTACATGGTCGACGAGGATGGAATCTTGCTTGACCCTGCGGATAGCGAACACTACTCCAGCATCATGTGGGGCATTATCCAGGACGCTTTTCAACACTCAAACAAGAACACTGCCAGCATTCATCCCGACGAGAGCCTCTGGGACTTTTTCCAGGAAAGGCTGGTTGAGAAGATACCCGAAACGGAAGAGGACTACGCCAAGAAACGCTCCATTGTTCTTCAAGTTGCTGAATCTTGGGGCGCGTTCATTGGAACTCCGGTTCAGACCCAAAGCCTGAAGTTCTTTTGGTTGGAAGAGTGCATAGACGGCGGTAAGTGACTCTCCCTGGCAGAAGTCCCGCAAGGGTGGATAGTATCCTCAGAGCCAGGGTTGACTTTATTCGAGAAAACCTCTTTTGCGCCGGCACCTACGAGAAGATCCTCGAACGGGTCGCGGAGCCGGTAAGACACAACGCGGACATCATGTACGATGCCCGCGTCACCAAAGTAGAGCTCAAGACGCCGGACCGCCTGAAACCAAGGGTTCACACCGATACCGGCCACGTACTCGAGTTTGACGAAGTTGTCATGACTGCCCCTCTTGGGTGGCTGAAGAAGAACCTGCAGGCATTCGATCCGCCCCTACCTGAGCGGGTTGAGCGCGGTATCAAGGCCATCGGGTACGGATGTCTCGAAAAGGTTTACATTACTTTCCCCAAGGCGTTCTGGCTCGCTTCCGACGACGCCGACGGCCCAAGGGTGCAGGGCTTTTGCCAGTGGCTGGCCCCTACGTACTCTGCCAAATTGAACCCGAAGCGGTGGAACCAGGAGATTGTCGAGCTCGCGTCGCTGGGCCCGGACTCGCACCCGACACTGCTATTCTACATTTTCGGAGACGAGTCCAAATACATTACGGAGGAAGTGGCGAAGCTGAAGACGATACCCGAGAGAAACTATTTCCTTTACGATTTTTTCAGGCCGTACTACTCCCGGATGCCGGGCTACGACGAGAGGTCGCCCGACTGCAGGCCCACGGGATGCTTGGCGACGGACTGGCTGCGCGACGATCTCGCAGGCAACGGCAGCTACAGTAACTTTCAGGTGGGACTGGAGGAGGGCGATAAGGACGTCGAGGCGATGCGTGAGGGCGTGCCGGAGGGCGGGCTGTGGCTGGCCGGCGAGCACACGGCGCCGTTCGTCGCATTGGGCACGGCGACGGGTGCGTATTGGAGCGGTGAGAGTGTCGGTCGGAGGGTGGCTGAAGCCTACGGGAGGACTGGTAGCAGCGCGGATCAAGAGTAGGAGACGCTAGAAGGACTCGGAAGAGAGAGAGAGAGTGAGAGACCCTTGATAGAAAGAGATGGGAGCCGTCCTCGGAGGTTGAACGTCTTCATGTGACCTTTTACTTCTACGTTCCCTTTTTACGGTTATTAGACTTGAATTTCTTCATGGGACGGTGGGTATGGACTGTTGGCCGCGTTTACTGAAAGATATACTTCATTCCGTAATGCTCTGCCATGTATGTAAGCACGGAAACTGAAACATAAAGCCCCCATTCCATGCGGCGTCAAACGGGCTTGAAGAAGTCTTGTTTTATGGTGGCTGACTGTTGGCAGAGAGGCGCAGAGGTTCATATCAGTTGTGCGTTGGACAAAGAGGTTATCTGATCCATAGACAACGATTAGATGTCTCTGCATGCGTCATTCCGAGTACCTCATTGGCTGAGAGGGGAGAACTGACATAGTGCAACAAAGCAGTATATACGGACAAGCAGAGCAACCAACCTGGCGTGTGTCTGGTGCTTGTGAGATTGAGCCAAACATCAACAACGCATGTTTATCATGCTCAGGTTTCGTCAAATCAAAAACCCAGTCAGGGGGAGGCAGATAGATTGTTGCCAGGTGTACGGCCAGCAACAGGGCTACCTGGCATGCAATGCTTCCGACACCTTACGCCGGAATGACGACTTGAGACAGCTGGCAGCCAGAGAGAGCGAAAGGGAGCATGAGTGGATGTGTCGGAGGAGTCTGGACGGAGGGGAGGGAAGGTACGTACCGCGGAATGGCGTGGCGTAGAGTGGAGGGCTCTATCGTGCTGCATCGCTCAGGTGGAGCGGGTGCACGGTGCAGTGTACCAGCCAGGATAGCGCCTGGATCGCCATTCCACAGTGACCTCTCGCCGCCCCAGGAGGTACGGTCACAAGCCTGGCTGCCCCCAAATCAAAAGCCAAGCAAATATTGCCAGCAGGTAATGAGTGCTTATCGATAAGCAACTCAAGCGGCAAGCCCCCCGGAAAGACAGGCACACCCCAGACAGAGAGTCAACTGACGAAGACCCCTGCACACCCTGTCGGTGACGTGAAGGCGGCCAGAGAGTCACGCGCTGTTAGAGCCTGAGGTGTGGGGGGAAGAGACAATCTTTAGTGCACCTGCTTGGCTTGCTCTATGCTTGTGTCTCCCATTCCGTCCATGACCGCCTTTGCCCCCTCCCCCAAAACCCCAAGTCCTGTAAGGCAGTCGGTCCCCATTCTGCCACCCGTCTGTCACTCATCACCAAACACTGCACTTCCTACTGTCCAAGCCACTCCATCTGCCTTAGGCTGGCTTTTTTTCTGGCTTATGCCTATCGTCCCGACCTTTGCCGTGCACTTCCTGTAAGGTACCCTGTTTTGCCTTTCTTTGCCGCCGTTGCTGCCTTCCAGCTTGTTGTAGAAACTACACATCCTGAGGTGCATCATACAGTCTGACCTGTGCCTGGTTCTGTGTTACTTACCTACTATCAAGCCCATCTTATCCGGCATCGCCCTCTCTCGCCCTCTGACGACGCCCAGCGATTTCTCGATACTTCTCTCTCAAGGTCCCCCGTAGCGGAACCCTATCTTTGAATGACGAACGCACCATGAACTGTGTCCCCGCCTTGGGCCGGGTGTCTTCTGATAACACGGCGACTGCAGCCTCCAGACCCCCTACCCGGTGAACCGCCCCACGATACCCGACTGCCCTGGTTGCTGTAGCCCCCAGCTGCAGCATCGCACCTGCCTTCCGAGGCCAATCTCGCCTTTCAAACCGCCAGTAGGCTGTCTACTGTACGGCAACAGCCGCCGTACACCCCTCGAAATACTCATCGTCCTCCAAAACCTCCCCGGACTGTACGCTCATCTCGAACCCGAACCCAACTCTCCCATCGAGAGCGTCCGGCCCGCGGTCGCGGAACGACCACGACCAGCCCAACATGGCTACCATATTCCAGAGCTTCCGGAGCTCGACTCTGTCGAAGCGCTTGCTCATATACGCCCTGCGGCGTCTCGAGCTGCTCGACGAGGAGACCCTGGACATGGAAAACCTCCAGTTCGCGCTGGGCAGGACAACGACAGCAGAGTTCAAAGATGTCGGAGTGCGCCTCAAGGTACGTTGATACGCCACCCGTGCGGGTTAGGAGCGATACCAGTAGGCTAACATGAAGTGCTTAACCGCCAGAAACTCGAGCACCTGTTGCAGCTACCCGCCTCGTTCCAGATCCAAAAAGCAAAAGTCCTAAAGCTCAGCGTCACGATTCCCGTCGACTTTTATACGAGCCCCATCATTATCGAGATCGACGGCGTCGACGTCCGGTTGAAGGTTTCTACCAGTGGCGACGATACTAAGGCAAAGTCCGCCACGCCCTCGACCGACGACTCCAGACTGCCGAACACCGTGAACCTCGCCGAGTCCTTCCTCAACGAGGATGTGGCCCTGAAAGATGCCTCGCTGGCCGATGAGAAGCGGAGGTTAGAGGATGCCCTCGCCGCCGAGACGCAGGACCTCGGCGGCTCCATGGCCATGAGCGAGAGTTCCATGAGCGACGACGGGAGTCAGTTTGGAACGGGCCAGCCGCTGTCCTTGCCGGGCTTTCTGGCCGGCTTCCTCCAGGGAATTGTTGATCGCATCCAGGTACGTATTAGAGGCGTCACGTTTCAAATGGACGTCGAGGTCCCGATCGAGCCGAACGCGACTGCGCCGGAGCTGGTTACTTTCGAGCTGGCCCTGGACCGCATCGATGTGGAGGGTGTCACCGCCGAGACACAGAACGAGGAGGGTGCCCCGGTTATTGCGCCCAAGGAAGGAAAACGTCAAGTCGCCTTGTCTAGGGTTCGGGCGTACTTGATATCAGAAGCGAATGTCTTTTCGCAATTTGCCCGCTCGCCATCGATTTCGTCGCCTGCTGTTTCTCAGTCGCCATCATTCAGCGAGCGGGGTGCCGCGTCGAGGCATAGTACCTTCCGACCCAGCATGCAAGACAGCTTTCTCTCTTCCACCTCGGACGAGCTCTCTGAGGTGGACGACGCTCTGTTGCAAGATAGCGAGGAGGCCTTTAACATCCCCTACGACTTCTCGAGTCAACCCGAAGAGCCGGCGGAGGAGGAGGAGACGAACACGCCGCGCGCGTCGATATATCAAGACTTCTCACCGCGCGGGCACGTGCCTGTTTCCCAATCTACAATCCTGGGCGATGATGATCGGGCTGCCCCGTGGGCCAGTTTCCAGCGAGAGGCGAGGTCAGAACCGTCGCAATCGACTGAGGGTATGCCTCCCATCGCATTTGCCGAGCAAGGAAACTTGGAGTCGTCGCAGCATTCGAGCACCACCAGTCGCAGCTCCGGTCCCGCCGAGGAAGAGGATCTCGCGCAGTCGCATGTTTTCACCCACGAAGAGGCCGAAAGCATGTATATGAGCGCGTTCTCTCAGACCGAGGCCCAAAGTGCTGGGTCCCGTATGCCGGGAGGATGGGACGAGCCCAGCCCTGAGACTTCCCCTGTGTTCAAGAAGGCAAGCCCAGTCTTGCGCCAGCCATCGCCGCCACCAGTCAGAGATGAAGGTGTGAAGGAGCCACCCAGCCCTGAATTCACAGACGCACCCGCACCGCCCCATCCCACGGCCTACCCCGCGGTCGGCGATGTTGAATCGGGATTCACTAGACATGAAGCCCAACGCTCGTCGAGGAGGAATTCTGAGGACGAAGGTGTTGCAGACGCCCATGCCCCGGCCGATGATGTGGCAACGCCGAGAGGCCCAACGAGACTTGTGAAGGAAATCCTGTCTCTGAACACCATATCATTATACGTCCCATCGTTACACCAGCACGTGCATGTCCCTGCGGACGCACAAGCATCTGTCTTGAGCCAAGCTCCAGGATCGCCAGGCTTGGCGAGATCTGTGGCACCTCAGGTTCCAGGGGCTTTTTCCGTGTACTCCACGTCGCCGGGCATGAGATCGAGTGTCGCGCCCCGGTCGCCCGGTCTAGTCTTCACGGAGCCACAAAGCGATGGCGACGTTGAGGTTCACTTGTCGCCATTGGAAGTCCGCTTCGACGCTTCTTTGGCATACTTACTCGCAGTCGTCGTTGGAAAGCTGATGGATGCCCTGAAGGGCACCACCGCTACTCCTGCCCCGAAGAAAACCACTACTACGGCGAAGTCATCGCAGGAGTCATCGATGCCTGACATCAAAGTGGTGTTTGAAAAGATTTCACTGCATTTCCTCCACCAACTTGGTGGTGTTGCTGACACCGCCGAAAGAATCTTTGGCTCTGGTGGATTGCACATGCAGCCGGAGATCCTTCTCCGTACAGAGCTTGAAAATCTCAGCCTATCTCTCAGTGCTGTCAAGAACTCCCTCGAAACAACAATTGACCTGGAAAAGTTTCGTTTTGGCTATGCAAAGGATGACATCATCTGCTTTGATCAAAGTTTGCAGATGCGAGCGTCTGTAATGGACAAGTTTCCCTCAGCCGGCTCCGATATATCGGTGAAGGTGATCAAATCGCCCAACTCGACTCGGACGGAAATTACAACATTGCCACTCTTGATACAGCTCGATCTGCAGAGGTTAGACGAGACGTTCAGCTGGTTTGGCGGATTGAGCAGTTTTCTTAACATGAGTTCCTCAATGACGTCGAGCGCGTCCCCCTCGGTCAAAACGCCGGTCCAACCAGCGCCTAAACCCCGGGGTGTTCGATTTGATGCTCCCATTAACCCGGACGACAAGTCGGCCGCTTCCGAGAACAAGATCGATATGAGAATCGGCGGTTTCAACCTGGAGTTGAAGGGCAAGGAGTGCAGCGTCGGCCTTGAAACAAGTGCTGTCAAGATGGTGAGTCGAGAGCTTGGTATCGGATTCGCTATCAGCAAGGTGCGCCTGGCGGGCCCGTACATCCGAAGGTCCAGAGGAGAGCCACCCATCTCGGCCGAGATCAGTGGTGTTAGGTTCGAATACCTCGCGACGCCAAAGGACAAAGACCTCGAGCGCCTTCTAGAGCTTATTATTCCTTCCAAGGTCAAGTTCGACCAGGGCGACGATGAGATTATGGTGGACACTCTTCTCAGGCAAAGGCGTAAGGGCGCTGTCCTCCGCGTGACGTTCGACCAGTTCAACGTCAGAGTCGAGCGCATGCATCAGCTCAACTGCCTCCCCGCTCTGGGTGAAGAAGTCGCGCGACTGGCGACAGTGGCAAAGTACCTCCCAGAAGACGACCGCCCTGGTGTGCTTCTCCTAGCGGAAATCAAGGATCTTGGTGCGACTGTCGACATCGGTGGCAAGATCGGCATCATTAACGCCAACCTCAAGGGATTTGAGGTCGCGCAGATTACGGTACCCTCGCTGGTGGCATTCGGCGTACACGCCATTTCCGTGAATCGCAACCATCGAGAGGACCTCGTGAGTTCATCAACAACGCTTCCTCCAGGCACACTCACCCAAGGCCCGGTTCTCATGGTTCGCATGATTGGGGACGAGATGGAGCCAGTGATCAAAATCAAGATGCGCGATGTTACAGTGGACTACCGGGTGCCAACCATCATGGATGTTCTCGGACTCGGCGAGGATGCCACTCCTCAAGATTTTGAAGCCAGCCTCGCGGCCTCAGTGGCCAACCTCGGTGAACAAGCTCATACAGCCCTGGCCGGCAAGAAGCCTCAACCTGCTCGACCTGCAGACCCTGCTCGACCCAATAGTAAGCCTATGACGGTCGACTTGGTTTTCCGCGATTGCTTGATTAGTCTTAACCCCTTGGGACTCCCCTCCAAGCTCCTCATTGCGTTCACAGATGCTCGACTTCAAGTGGTTCTGCCCAAGGACGTGGATACGACGGCGACGTTGGATCTCAACAAGGCTTCAATTCTCCTCATTGACGATGTGGCTAACATAGGCGCGACCGCTTCCACTGTGAACCGTCGCCAATCGGCGGATATGTCGTCGCAACAAGTCTCGCGACTGGCTGCTCAAGGCTTCGTCAGCATTTGCTACATTTCTTCGGCAAAGGTCACTGTTAAGGTTACAGAAAGTGAGGAGGATGGTGAAAAGCATGTCGATGTCGACCTACGTGACGACCTCCTCGTTTTGGAGACGTGTGCCGATTCCACTCAGACTCTCATCACTCTTGCAAACGCACTGAAGCCACCGACGCCACCTAGCAAGGAGAACAAGTACAGGACCAAGGTCGTTCCAGTGCAGGACCTCTTGGCTTCAATATCTGCAGAGGCGTTCGGAAAAGCCGAGGGCGATTATGATTTTGACAAGGACTTTGGGCTCGCCCAGGAGCTCGGTGGCGACGAGGAATTTGACGTCGCGAGTGATGAAGGCCCATTGCATATCGATTCGCAATATTACGGGGACGCCGGTCCTTCGGATATCCTCTTTGACGCAGATGGCTCAGTCACATCAATCGGAACCACAACTCAAGATACCCACGACGGAGTGCTACTTACCAGCTTCAATGCCAGCGCATCCACCCACGTGTCAGACGACGGTAGTGATCTCGTTATCGAGGACAACTTCTTCGACAAGGGACCGGATATCGACGGTAGAGCCCAAATCTGGAACTCGTCAAAGAACACCTACGACCGAGCCCCGAAGGAACTTATCAGGAAGGCTCCTCTGCGAGTGTCGATTCGTGATGTCCACGTTATTTGGAACCTCTTTGACGGATACGATTGGGAACGCACTCGCAGTGTTATTAGCAAGGCCGTGCAAGATGTCGAAGAGAAGGCTATTGAACGTCGCCGACGCTCGGAACGCATTGCGTTCGAGGAAGACGCGGAAGAAGACGAGACAGTAATCGGCGACTTCCTTTTCAATTCGATTTACATCGGCATCTCGACGAAGCAAGACCCCCGGGAGCTCGCGCAGATGGTCAACCAGGAGTTGAACGACAACGCGACCGAGACAGAGTCCCTTGCTACGACGGCCTTCACAACAGCAACTGGTCGGGCTGGCGGTGCACACAGGCCCAAGAAACGGTTGAGACTCAACAGGAGCAAACACCACAAGATCACTTTCGAGCTTCAGGGCGTCAACGTCGACCTGATTGCTTTCTCTCCCGACTCGGGGGAGACCCAGAGCTCCATCGATGTGCGCGTGCAAAATCTGGACGTCTTTGACCACGTCCCGACCTCGACGTGGAAGAAGTTCATGACATACGATCAGGATGCTGGCGAACGGGAGATGGGTACCAGCATGGCTCACTTGGAGCTTCTGACCGTCAAGCCCCAGCCGGATCTCGCGGCGTCTGAGATGGTATTGCGAGTGACGCTTCTGCCCCTGAGGCTTCACGTCGATCAAGACGCCCTGGACTTCATCACCAGATTCTTCGAATTCAAGGACGATAACGCTCCCGTGCACAGCTCACCCAGCGATATTCCATTCCTCCAACGTGTCGAGGTGCGCGACATTCCGGTCAAGTTGGATTTCAAGCCCAAGCGCGTCGACTACGCCGGACTCAAGTCGGGTCGAACCACCGAGTTTATGAACTTTATCATTCTGGACGAAGCTCGCTTGACTTTGCGTCACACCATCATCTACGGCGTCTCTGGCTTCGACAGGATGGGCAAGATTCTCAACGACATCTGGATGCCGGACGTCAAGGGTACTCAACTCGCTGGTGTTCTCGCCGGTCTTGCACCCGTCAGAGGCATCGTTAACATCGGCAGCGGGTTCAAGGAGCTGATTGAGGTCCCAATCAAGGAGTACAAGAAGGACGGACGCATTGTCCGTAGCATTGGCAAGGGCGCCGCGGCCTTTGCGCGCACGACGGGGACTGAAGTGATCAAGTTCGGTGCCAAGCTGGCCATCGGAACGCAGTACGCCCTCCAGGGTGCCGAGGGCTTGCTCAACAAGCCGCAGACCGACAATACGTGGGAGGACGCGGGTCTCGATCCAGAGGAGAAGAAGCAGATCTCCCTGTACGCAGACCAGCCTACTGGCGTGATTCAAGGTCTCCGCGGCGGATACTCGAGTCTTACGAGGGACTTGAATATGGCACGCGATGCCATCATTGCGGTGCCGGGCGAAGTTATGGACAGCTCCAGCGCGCAGGGTCTCGCAAAGGCAGTCTTGAAGCGAGCTCCAACCATTATTTTCCGGCCTGCCATTGGGGCCACGAAGGCTATTGGCCAGACTCTGATGGGCGCGACGAACAGCTTGGATCCGCAGAACAGACGCAGGGCGGAGGAGGTGAGTACTCCGGGAGCCTATCCCAAAATCATTGCTAACAATTTTCCAGAAATACAAGCGGCACTAGATTCCACAGCTTACAAGCACACGCACACGATACACCAGATACCAATACGGTGGTTTTACTTTGTTCAAGGGGATCAGGTTTCACCCACCCAATACGACTGCATGAGACTGCATCATAGACTGGCGAAGGAGGTTTCTCGATTTATTTTCTCGACTTTTACAATGGGCTATGGATGTCACAGAATGCAACGCAACGCAGGTCACAGAAAAGAAGCGTAATCATGAGTTATACACAACAACACTTCTCTTCGAATGGACATGTTTACAAACCGAAACGTTGGCCTCAACGGAGGTGGGGGATGGTGGACGGATGAATGGATACCAGCAGGAAAGGCACTAGGTTCCTTCTTTTCCTCTTATTTTTTCATTTAATGTTGCTCGCAGATAGTACAAAGGGCGGAGTCATCGGACTTTGTATGCCTCGGAAAAGGCATTTTAGGCGTTTCAAACCACAGTTCATTTCAAACAGAGACGATCGCACAAACCAGAATATGCGGCTTCAAGTTTGCGAACACAAAACGGCTTATCAAGCAAAGGTGGTTGGTAAGGACGGAGTGATGATGCTTTGATTGGCAAAGCGGACTCGGGTGTTTCTAGGCGCCGGGATCTCGGAAACCGATGAATGGGCGCCCCACATCCACTCTTGGCCCTTCGCTGTCGCTTCTTCGCCCTGGTCTACTTGGACTGCGACCCTACAGTTGTTTCTTTCATGAAGAAGTCTCGTGTCCGTTGCTGGTAAGAATAATATCGCTAACCTCTTGGTCGTTATTATATGTTGTCCGTACTTAAGTTCCCTTTCTCGGCTGTGCGTTGCTGCATGTAATTACCTCGGGGCTTCTCACACACGCGCGCGCGCGCGATTTCCCAAGGATGCCGGGTTGTTGATCACGTCAATGACAAGCTGCACGTTGTGCAGCTCTGACGCTGACTGTGATTGGCTCGAGCTGCTGTGCAGTGTGCAGGCTGCAGCTGTCTTAGCTGGCAGGGCCCCCGTCGTCCGATCTAAGATGTTGCAGGGGAGCACCCCGACGGATGATTTCGCAAAACAAAAGAGGCCTTTTTTTTTTTTTTTATGTGCTGTATTCTGTGACTGTTCTAAGGTTCAGCGCGAAAGACGCGAGAAGGCAAGGCGAGATTTTTCAGGGCTGCAGCTGAGATATCCGGGGTCAATTGCGCCTTGCCCAGGACATCCGGATGGGTGCTTGGCTTGACTATTACGATGGACGGGCGGGAAAGAAGGAAGGGTAGGTTCGTTTCCTGAGTCGTGAGAGTTATCCAGGGGACCTAGAGCCGGCGACAACCGTTGCCATTCTCGGCGTATTAGAGGAACTCTGATATAGTCGTCCGCCTCGTCTCCGCCTATCACGACCGTCGCGACCGTCACGGTGTCAGCTCGGGGTTTCGTTCCTATGACTCTTTGCCCTGGTGGTGGTTCCATCTTGGTAAACGCTCTCCATGCCGTGTAGAGAAGGAGGTTAACGGGGCGTAGGCGGGCGGGCTTTGACAAATGGCAACTCTGGCAATCTCTCATTCCACAAAGTGTCTTGAGTCCTTATCCGTTCCGATACGAAGAAACAGAGAGATATCCCGTCGGCGGGGAGATAGATACACTGACTTGGTTACTTGTACGGATACCTAAGTGCAAGCCCTAGCCCCCCCTACCCATCGTCCCCGTTCCTGTCCGCTGTCCCTCCCCGCCGGCCCGCTGTCGCAAATGCGCCTTTGCTGCTTTCGCATTTTCTCCATTTGCAGCGCCGCCGGCTGGCCACAGCTCCTGGTGCTCCCCTCCCAAAAAGTCCGATGTAGCAAATATGATGGCGTCATCGGCGTTCCGGCCGATCGGAATCTCTCGCTGGTTATCAGCCTTTTTTTTGGTTTCTCTTACCTGAAGACGGGACAGCCCCAAAGCTACGCGCAACCCGCGCGGACCCTTACCTAGTAGCTGGAGGGAGCAAAAATTTCCGTAACCGTACCGCGCGCCCTTTGAGGGTCTCTTTACAGAGTGGTAGGGAGGGAGGGAGGGGACAGGACCTAAGTTACTTTTGGGATCGGATGGGGTTTAGTTGACGCTACGACTCGTGTCGCATTTCTCATCTTTCTCGTGTGCTACTTGCTGTATAATTCCCCATTTTCGTCGAATGCTGATTTCCCCATTCCCCGGCCTTAAAGTTTTCCGGATCTGGTCGTTTCTTACCTTACCTTGCCTTACCTACCTTTCATCGTCCCTCCCCCCCCTTGGCCTTGACTTCGTCCTTGCATCTTTACACATTCTTGTTCATTAGGCCGCATCTCGTGAGAAGGAACGTGGTCTTGTGTGTGTGTGTGTGTTACCATCTCCTGGCGTGCGCAGACGATTCCGTTGTTATCCATCTCGTCATCACCTGCTCTTTTGGTAACCCCGCCTCCACCATCGGAACCTGCCCCGCCGTGTCGCGCGCGCGCATCACAAAGTCGCAAGCTGTCGCAAACCGAGCTCTGAAGCTGAAGCTGAAGCTCCGAGGCCAAGATCGCATCTTCACATCGTGCTCCTCCTACCATAACCACGACCGCAAACATGTCGGACGGAAAGCGCGCCGTTGACTCTGACAAGGGTTCGTCTCTCACTCTCACTCTCATCCCTCACACAACCAAATTCACAATGAACAACCCCCAACCTCAAAAGAAGCTATCCGCAACAACACAGAGCATACTCTCTCATTATTGATCCCCTCAAAAGCTGACAAGCATATCCAGTCTGGACGACTCTCATCACCAACCTAGACTACCTCTCCGGCCTCCTCACCCTCCACCACTCCCTCCTCAAGTCCGGCTCCGCGTACCCCCTCGTCGCGCTCTACACAGACACCTTCCCGGCCGAGGGCCTCGCCGCCCTCGAGCGCCGCGGCATCCCCGCCCAGCGCATCGAGTACCTCCTCCCGACCGCCGGGCGCGACTACTCCAACGACCCGCGCTTCTACGACTGCTGGAGCAAGCTCACCCCCTTCAGCCTCGACCAGTACGCCCGCGTCGTCCAGCTCGACAGCGACATGCTCGTGCTGCGCAACATGGACGAGCTCATGGAGCTCGAGCTCGACGACGGCGACTTCGCCGCCGAACACACCCCCGCTGAGCTCATCGGCGCCTCGAAGCGCGTCGACGCCGAGAGCGGCTACGGCTCCGGCGAGGACGGCAACGGCAGCGAGCTCTCCGCTGCTGCTGCTTCGGGAAGGACCAAGAACCCCAGCGTGCGCGTCTTCGCGGCCGGCCACGCGTGCGTCTGCAATCCGCTCAAGAAGCCGCACTACCCCAAGGACTGGACGCCCGAGAACTGCGCCTTCACGACGCAGCACGGCAGCCCCGAGGAGGCGCAGCGCGTCGGCCCGGACCCCGTGACGGCGAGCCCGCTGGGCTTCATGAACGGCGGGCTGCAGGTGGTCAACCCGTCGAAGCGGCTCTTCCGGCAGATCGTGCAGCACATGGAGCAGGGGGCGATGGACATGGACTTTGCGGACCAGAGCCTGCTGTCGGAGCTGTACCGCGGGCGGTGGGTGCCGCTGCCGTACGTGTACAACGCGCTCAAGACGCTGCGGTGGGAGGGCGTGCACGACGAGATTTGGAGGGATGCGGAGGTGAAGAATGTGCATTACATCCTGGCGCCGAAGCCGTGGGACGAGGTGGATGCGGAGGGCAACTGGACCGGGAAGGAGGAGAGTCATCGGTGGTGGGTCGATTTTAACAATGATCGCAAGGCGTCGGAGAGGGCTATTGGGGTTAATGATGGGTTTTAAGGCTTGCACATGGTCTTTTGTTGTTAGTAATGATGGGCTTCTTTTGATGGGATGTGGAAGAGAAAGTAATGGGGAAAGGAACACATTGGAAAGACGATTTAGACGGGATAAGGGATGCTGAGACGACGTCCTCGTGGACTATTTGAGATAATACCCAGGTATTAATCATGCTGCAAGAAAAAAGATGTTTTTGCGTTATTGGACTGAAAGTTGTGGTATAATTTCTCCGTATCTACATGGTGTGATGGTTTCTGCGAGAAGTAGCAATCTGATGGGCATACGCTGGCGCATTCAGATCCATGGATGACGTATGGGGGTAGAAATATTGCCAACGTGGCGTACATGCTTCATTCTGATTTTGACGTCTGAGCTTGTTGTTCCTTTCCGCCGGTTTTATTTCCTGCGTATTCAAGAATACTCACATGTTGTCTGATCACCTTCTGGTCATGGTTGGGAAGACATAGATGGACGCATGTACCGGTATCGAGCAGAACTCTCTCCAGTGTTGATGAAAATCAACCACGCCGCGTCCACGCGTACAATTGTTTCAAGAATGGAAACAAGGGTCCTGACAAACATCATATACGTCGTCAAAGTCTATGAGGCAGCAACGAGTGCTTAAGGACTAGCTAGCTGGGGTTTCTACCCCCTTCAGGTCTATAAATTATGAGTCGAACAGTTGTTCTTAACGATATAAACAATTAGTTCACAGTGCATGATTCGATTGCCAATGTGGGCTGGCCTCAGGCGTTTCGAAAGTGAGCTAAGGTGTTGCGAACAACCTTTGGGCAGTTGACAGGGGTTTTGGGTGAGTAGATGGCACGACTATACCACCCAGTCGCTAATCTATCGACGTCCTTCACCTTTGGGGACCGATTATTACAGAATATACTCGGATCCGTGTCAACTTGGAAAAGTTTGATACGCCTGTCCACTTGTTCTTTGCGATGCTGTTAGTTTCTCGAGTACGGGGCATATTGTCGCCGTTGTAGAGATGGCGATACCACAGATTCCCCTTCCCCATTTGCTGTTGGGAGAGTCCTTTGACCTGGTGGTTCAGTTATCTTTGCTTCATGGGTGAATTCAAACTGGGCAGTCTGAAGCCATGCGTATCAGGCCAAGTGCCAACCACTCAGATGTTCAGCGCCTTATCCGATGGTAAACGTCCGGCAAATTCTCTTCCAGTTAGTCTGGCCACGTTCGAACTTACGCAAAGATATGGATGTCATTACTA